GGGGGGGGAAGAGGGGGAGGGGGGGTTATACAGGGCTGGCTTACATTTTTTTCTGTTTGCCAGTTTCCCAAATGGCAGTATAACCCAACTATTTTTGAATTCCTGTGTCACTCAATGGACAGGAAAATAAAAAAGTGTACACAAAGTTTTTAATGCATTAATAGGCACAAGATAACCATCTTGCTGACCGTTATTTCATCCACCGTATTCTGACATCAATGGGGCAGTGCAGTTTGGCTGACGGTACTTGATTAATGTGCTAGCATGCAATTAAAAAACTTCAACCTTAGTGCACGCCGTTCTCTGCGTGTACTTACACCCCTCAGGAGTCCTCAGGGTGATGAAGTCGTTGCTGTTGTGCATTTTGCGCAGGCACTGCACCTGCACTTTGACCTGGTAGGTGGTGTCCGGCTTCAGGATCTTTAACACGAAGGCCGTCTTGTAGCTGTGTGTATCTACTATCTTCCATGTGCTCTCCCCGATAACCCTGTGCAGACAGCAAGATTGGAAATGAAAAGCAGATACAACTGATATATCTCTGCAGGGAACATTGACACTGGGATGAAGAAAGAAGGTTCCTAGTCTCATGGGCAAAATCATCCAATGCTTTGCTTTACTTCTTGTGGACTCCTGTAGACAGATTCTCACCCCCACCCCACACACACATCTCACATTGCAATCTCAATACTCCACAGATCTTCACTGTCACACTGTGCTGCATCTTCTGTACTGTGCATCTCATATTTTGCATACTACAAACCACTGCACCCTTCACACTGTGCTGTACTGTGTATCCACTCTATATACTGCACATGGCTCCACTCTATATACTGCACATGGCTCCACTCTATATACTGCACATGGCTCCACTCTATACATTCTATATACTGCACATGGCTCCACTCTATACTGCACATGGTTCCACTCTATACATTCTATCCACTCTATATACTGCACATGGCTCTACTCTATACATTCTATATACTGCACATGGCTCTACTCTATACATTCTATATACTGCACATGGCTCCGCTCTATACATTCTATATACTGCACATGGCTCCACTCTATACATTCTATCCACTCTATATACTGCACATGGCTCCACTCTATATACTGCACATGGCTCTACTCTATACATTCTATATACTGCACATGGCTCCACTCTATACATTCTATCCACTCTATATACTGCACATGGCTCCACTCTATACATTCTATCCACTCTATATACTGCACATGGCTCCACTCTATACATTCTATCCACTCTATATACTGCACATGACTCCACTCTATACATTCTACCCACTCTATATACTGCACATGGCTCCACTCTATACATTCTATCCACTCTATATACTGCACATGGCTCCACTCTATACCCCCTATATGCTGTACATCTAATGCCCTTTATATACTCCCCTCCACTTTATCCTTGCCAATACTAACCAGTCTTTCCCTGCCTGGCAGTGTCATTGCAAGCTCCTTTAAACTGGAGCTTTCTCGCCTGTATCACCTGTAAAGGATGAAATAAATGCAGGACGCCAGCGGCATCTTCTTCGGTCGAGCCCAAGTCAGGGTTATATTTCCGGAGAAATCGGCCGTCCACTGGAGGTTCTGTACCTTGTACACGACGCTATCATCTGTACAGGAGAAGCGCAAAAGGTCAGCCATTTTGCCTCTTCACCACACGACTGCCTGCAACTAGTGAAGACAAATAAGGACGAACATTCTCCTACCGGTACAGTTGTTCTCATCGCTGCTGTCAGAGCAGTCCAGGAATCCATCACATCGGTCTGACAGAGGTAAGCAGGCTTCGCCGTCTTCACATAGGGTTCCGTTCGGGCAGGTAGAAGGTCTGTGAGTGGCTGTCAAAAAAGAAATATGTAAATGAAATGAAAAATGTCAAATATAACGACACTCTTCTCTGTCTTCCTGTCCCTTGGCAACACACACACGTACGAGTGCCAGATAATGTCCTCTCCTATCCTTTGACCAAACACACAAAAAGTTGGGCCCAGATCTCTTCTCTGCCTCCTATTCCCTTGAACCAACACACGTCCTCTTTTACTTCCTGCCCCTTGAACACACACAGGCCCCAGAAGATCTCTTTGCCTCACTGTCCCTTGACCCCAGCTAAAATGGGCCCAAATGACTTCCTTGACCCAACACATACACCCTGGCCCCATATGATGTCCCCTCTTGATGCAGCAGAAAAGAAATAGACACCGGCACTCCAATAATAAATCGATTGCGTCTATTTATTGACGTACATCAAAAGCAAAATAACACACTTAGTGCGACGTTTCGGGGACACACAGGAACCCCTTCATCAGGCAAAACAAGTGAGATTATAAGTGAAACAGCCAAATATATATACACACCAGGTTAGGTGAACAGACCTATCACAGAGCCTAAATTGGTCCCATGACGTTTCTGATGATGTCATACTCCCGCCAAAATCAAAGCAGAATAGGTATCAGCAAAGTGGATTGAGGCATAATGTGCAGTGAACAGTATGGTTAACATATAAAGTACAAAAGAGCAATCAACTAACTCAAAGTCATATGTTACTGAACGCTGATACCAGAGAGATGACGTAATACAAGAAATGTGGGGATACGGCATAAATACAGCGAAACCCGGACATTTGCAGATGTCAAAGGATCAGATGGAGGGAGTGGTTTGCTGCTGTCAGGTTCCCAGGAGCTGCCCCTAGATACGCCCACCAGATAGAGGGCGGGGGAGGCTGCACACGTCTCTATGACGTGGACTTCAGCCACACCCACGGCCCGAGGAAACAGTGGGGGAAAGAACTCAGTGATTGGCCGCACACGTCAGAGGAGGCGTGGAATCGGCCGCGTCATTGGTTACTATGGCTGCATCGGGACGCAGCTGACAGAGCCGGCACCATGTGACCCACATTGATGCAGCACACACAATGATTCCAGGTCTTGTCCTCTCCAATTGCTTAGACATATGGCCTTGTGGGTGCTTCATGTCATTCATTGTTCCTAATTACACAGACCCATGCAGTGAACAAGAGGATCAGCAAGGCACAACCAGTGGGCAGCACTTATAGAAAGGAAGCACAGCCTGCACATGTAATAAGGAAAAAGTACACGACAGGAAGCAAAGCTCTGATTCTCTACCAAGATGGCCGTCTCCACACAAACACAGAGCGGAACAAGACATGGTAAGTCAGTAACGGGGAAAAGCTACAAGTACTATTAGTGACTAGTCTTTGTTCTCTCCTTGCCTCTTCTAAACTTCAGGCCCTCTTTAAAGGATAACTATGTGGTTAAGGCTTTTCCCCATAGTTCTCCTTAGGGTAACGGGAGGACACAAACTAGCGTCCTCCCGTCACCCAAAGCTCAGTATACCGCGAGCTACAACTCGCGGTATACTGAGACGCCGTAGCGGATTCCCGACAATTATGTCTGGATCCGCCCAGCTGCGTGAGTGACAGCTGGCTCTGCCTATCTGCCCTGTGGCAGGATCGAGAGGTGAGCGAACGCCGGTATATGTTCGCTCACCTCCCGATCTACTGAGCCGACCTGTGACAGTCTCATTGTCACAGATCGGCTAGAACTATGAGGTGAGTGAAAAGCACTCACCTCATAGTTCTCCTTCAAATCCGATAGTAATAGTGAGGTTCCACTAGTATATACCGTATTTTGCGGTCGATAAGACGCACCGGACCATAGGACGCAGGGAGGTCCGGCGCGCCTTATGGAGCACTCGAGACTGTAGCTTCTGTGACAGCTTCTATGACAGAAGCTGTTACAGAAGCTGCAGTTAGTGACCGCTGAGACAGGTGGCGCTGTGATTGACACAGAGCAGGCGAAGAACGTCTATTCTTCGTCTGCTCTATGGTTATCTCGATCGTCGCCGCTGCTCGGTTTTAATACGAGTGATCTCATTAGATCACTCGTATTAAACGAGCAGTGGCTCCTGCTGCTGAACTCGATCGTCGCCGCCGCTGCTCGGCTTTAATACGAGTGATCTCGTTAGATCACTCGTATTAAACGAGCAGTGGCTCCTACTACTCGCCCGGCGCCCGAAACTGCATGTCTCGGGCGCCGGGGATTCGCTCCATAAGACGCAGGCACTTTTTCCCCCTCCTTTTGGGGGGAAAAAAGTGCGTTTTATGGAGCGAAAAATACGGTATATGAACGACTCCCGGCCCAGTGCAAGTCTGATTTCTGCATGTGCTGTTATTGGGACAAGGGGCTTCCTCAACATTGCTGCTTACTGTCCCCACTATGGTACTCTTCTAGATTGGAGCAGTACAGCACACACACACAGAGAGATAGATTGGGGTATTTACCATAAAATTGCAGAAGTCTGCAACAAACATTCAGCTTTTGTTAAAAAACCTAACAAGTCCACCGTGTGCAAGTGACAGGTGCACTTTGAGAGCATGGTTCATGCAATGACGGGAGCCCCAGAACTTACGGCACCGAAGTTCGTCTGTTCCATCCTGGCAATCTCGGAAGCCATCACACTGCTTCCATTTGGGTACACAGTACTTTGATTTCTGGCACTCAAACTCGAAGGGGCTGCAGCGGCCATGTGACGTGGTGGTGGGCAGCGTGGAGTTCACTGTCAGGTGGAGCAAGAACATACATCAGCATTGATATTGTATTATATATACACTTATTTCCCTCCTACTAGAGTGTAAGCTCTCACGAGCAGGGCCCTCCCAACCCTATTGTTCTGAAACTGTATTGTACTGTAAATTGTATTGTAACTGTACTGTCTGCACTATTTTGTAAAGCGCTGAGCAAATTGTTGGCGCTATATAAATCCTCTATAATAATAATGAGATATCAACAAACTAAATTCCAGATGTAACTAGATATTTGCACATTTGCTTGATTTTCACGAATATATTAAAGACAATTCTTCATATGATGTTGATGTTGTTCCTTTGATCCTACCGGTTGAGGGGCATCCCTCTTCATCAGAGCCATAGATACAATCCTTGTAGCCGTCACACACCCAGGTGTTCATGATGCAGACCCCGTTGTCACAGCGGAAGTGGTTGGCAGGACATGTGGAAGGTCTCACAGTGGTCTGCGGAATAGTCTCTATAAAAGAAGAAGTACAAACTTGTCTACATCTGCAGATCCTTATTATAGAATGTGCTGCTCCCACATGATGACAAATCTGCAGTAGAACACAGCTAACACCATGTGAATGAACAACACTCAGCAACAAGTACAAATGTTAGTGGTGCTACCCTAAAGACCACACAGGGATGGTGGGAAACCCTCATAATGGGCACAGCAGGTGTACCGACCCGGGAACTCAGCGCAGGGATGGTGGGAGCCCCTCATAATGGGCACAGCAGGTGTACCGACCCGGGAACTCAGCACAGGGATGGTGGGGGCCCCTCATAATGGGCACAGCGGGTGTACCGACCCGGGAACTCAGCACAGGGATGGTGGGAGCCCCTCATAATGGGCACAGCGGGTGTACAGACCCGGGAACTCAGGAATTTTACAAATAGAATCCCAGAGAGATGGCAGAGACTGCAAGGGGATTTAACTCTCCGCCATCCGTCAAACACAGGGCTACCTGTTTCAGGTGTAGTGAGGACTATGGACTGCATTTGACACATTTCCACCAAAACAGTGCAGGTTTCACAGAAATATAACACAACGTTTCTGTTTATCTTTAAACTTTTGCTAAAAGTGCAGACACGAGACAGAACCTACCCCCACAGTCCTTCTCATCTGACCAGTCCCCGCAGTCATTCTCCCCATCGCACTTCCACCGTGTGGGAATACAATGCCTGTTCTCGCACTGGAACTGGTAGAGGCGGGCGCAGGCCGGGGTATCTGTAGGGTTCTCTGGAGCAAACAAAGGGAAACACGAAGTCCATGAGATACACAGGAAGCTGCAGGATTTATAGATAACAGAACACTGCACATTATAATAAGCACAGAAGAATGACCAAGAAAAATATCTGACAGGGGAGGGGCTGGATTCCCCCCTCCCCGCTCCGATCCGCCAGCGCTGACTGGCGGAACGGATGGGGGCGGGTATAGCTGGCTCTGCCGCTAGATAGGCAGAGCCAGCTGTCACTCACGCAGCTGGGCAGATCCAGACATCGATGTCGGGATCCGCTCCGGCGTCTCAGTATACCGCGGGCTGTAGCTCCCTATATACTGAGCTTAGGGTGATGGGACGACGCTAGTTTGTATCCTCCCGTTACCCTAAGGTGAACTATGGGGAAAAGCCCTGCCCCCGTAGTTCTCCTTTAAAGCTTCCTAAAAACACTACAGCACCCTGCCTACCCCTCTCAAGAGCCCTCAGTCCTGATGCAAGCAGTGGGCTGGCTCTTGGGAGGAGTTATGCAAATATCAAAATGCCTTGGTGGATGGGTGTCAGTCTGGAGGAGTGGGCGTTCCTAGGCAGGCCGTATGTGCATGCAAACACCCCTCACCCTAGGCAAGCAAAGCAAAGAATACTTCACCTACACCTCCTCGCCAACTTTTGTTTACAAGATTTTGGAGAACAGACATCACACCTGGCAAACTGGAACCCGTGCGACACCAGCATCATCAAACTCCACCCTCCGTCGACGACCACGTAATATCTTTTACCTAAGGGTAAGTCCCTAGATTTTTTCTGTTTTTCTTTTTTTGAACACGCCATTTCATTCACCTCCACAATCTGATGTTTTGCATTTTTGGGACCACACTCGAACTAATTGGACTAACCACGGAAGTTTGGGAACTTTTTTCCCCCCCTCCTCCCCCCCCCCCCCCCCCCCCTACAAGGTTCAGCGAAAAATCGCCCTGTTCCCTACTCGGCTTGCAGCGCTTCTCCCTTCCCTTCTCGGTTTAACGTATGTGCATACAGACCTACCTATATGACAACCACTTGTGATGCTGATCCTCCATGATTGATGGGACTGAAATCCAATGAATAAAAGGGGCGGATCCAGGGACAGTCAGGTTGGGAAGGAAAGGGCCAGATGATGCTGAACATTCCGCCAGCCAGGAAATGCAGCTTCCGATGCACATTGTGAGAAGCTCGCAGTGTGCAGCGACATCAGAGGAAGCAATTTCAGTCCAGGAGAGGAGACGGTACAACTGTGCAAGACTGTAGACTAAAGCTTTCTTCTCACTTCCTGTTGTGCCTCCAGGACAGGAAGTCAGATGAAAGCCGCCTGACAGAGGGCAGTAAAAACCTGGCAGGGGTTTCAAGCCTCCCCAGCCAAAAGGTTTTGGCTTGGGATACACTAACATTAAGCCACAGGTCTATTTGAAGAGCAGTATGGGGGAGTTACCGCAGTTCGCTTCATCCGAGTAATCTCCGCAGTCGTCCATCCCGTCGCACTTCCACGCCAGGCTGATACAGACGCCGTTCTGACACGAGAAGCTCATTGGATCGCAGCTCTTCTTAAACTCTGGACCCCGAGCTGGCAGGCATAGAGAAGACACATGGGAAATGTTTACAGGAGGTAGAACGGATCGATTAATCAGTCTATCAAATGCATTTATTTTCCATGTCTGTACAGGCTTTTGAAGTATCGATTGCACCCTGCTGGAAAGGTTCAGAGTTCGTTCACTGCTAATCATGTGTCTACAGTTAGTGTATGTTAACCCCAACCATCAACTCCTCTTTTTGGTTCCCTTTTGGTCTGTTAACCCCTTCCCGCGGGCACTTGAAGGGGCTCCTTATGCCGGAGGCCAGCTCCCAATCATTTGATCTCTGTGTCCCTTGCTGCTGGCCACTGGGTACTGCAGACTTTAGCTGTGCATTCTACTAATCAGTTGATTGATTACACTCTATCACAGTGCTTCTTAAAGTGTGGGTCGCGACCCCATATGGGGTCCCACAAGTGAACAGGGGGGGTCGCGATCTGAGTCCCCGGCCAGGACCGCCATCAGGATGGGTACAGCCGGCACTTGTGTGAGGGGCCCAGGCGGCCGGGGAGGCCTGGGCTCCAAGCAAGATTTTTTTTTTCCTTTTCGTTTAATGTGCAGTGTAGTGTAGTTTTTAAGGTTGCATACCCCCCACCTCTGTGCACTTGGTACCTTCCTGAGCACGTGCGCATGCAGGAAGGTTTTTTTCCTTTTTTTTACATTGACGGAGCTTCCTTTAACCCAGCAGTACACACCTACTGACGCTAGGGGAGGGGGGGGGAACACCGACGTTGAGGGAAAAAGGGGAGAGACACCGTCTGATGCTGGGGGTCCCCTAAAAATTTCCTCAGCCAAAAAGGGTCACGAGTGGAGAAAGTTAAAGAAGGCCTGCTCTATCAGACCTGCTTCTGGAACAGAATGCACAGCTAATGTCTGCAACACCCAGTGGCCAGCAGGGAGGAACATGCATGTCTGTGGCTGGGATGTGTTCTTTCATATAACGCTTGGGGCTAAAAGCAGAGTATGGCTTCCGCATAACTGAGTAGAAAGGGATGAGGGGTCAGTCAACACTGCAAAAATATACAACGGAGCATGCATGTCTAAAGGGATTCCGGGGATGTGTCCTTTCATATAACGCTTGGGCTAAAATCAGAATATGGCTTTGGCATAACTGAATAGAAAGGCATCAGAGGTCCCTCGACACTGCAAAAATAGACAACGGAGCATGTATGTCTAAAGCAGTGGTGGCGAACCTTGGCACTCCAGCTGTGCCAAAACTACAAATCCCAACATGCATCTGCCTCTGGGAGTAATGTCTGTGGCTATCAGAGCCTTGCAATGCCTCATGGGACATGTAGTTCCAAAACAGCTGGAGTGTCAAGGTTCGCCACCACTGGTCTAAGGTTCTCAACTGGTGGGTCGCCGCATACCTTCAACTTTTATAGGCGAGAGGCTCTTCAGCCTCCCCCTAGCGCAGCACTGTCCGTTCTCACACCGAGCAGCCATTCAAAATATGCTGCTCAGCACCGAGTGTAAGCTTGAGGTGGGGTGAGCTGGGGGTATGGCAGCGAGGGAGCTCCATCCATACATGTATTGCTTATAGCTCCCTCGCTTGTCCTATAGAGGTGCCTGGACCAGAGTAACATCACATTCTGGCTCCCGGCACCTCTACAGGCACGTATGTGAGCTGTACAAGCAATGCACATATGGGTGGAGCTCCATCACAGCAGCCCACATTGCCGTGCGTTCCATTGCAGTGCGACTTGGGTCGTGACTTAATGACCGAGGACAAATGTGGGTCCTGAGGTTACACAAGTTGAGAACCGCTGGTCTAAAGGGATGCCGGGGATGTTTTCTTTCATACAACGCCTGGGTTATAAGCAGAGCATAAATTCCGCATAACTTGAGTAGAAAGGGATCAGAGGTCCGACAACACTGCAAAAATAGGCAGCGGCAACATTTATGCCTCAGACCTTCCACCATTTTTGTTGCCCATCTCTTGACTTGTTCTCTCGTAGGTGAAGTGAACACAAATTGGTGAAAGCAAATTCGGGAAAAAAGGAAATGTGAACAGAACAGACCAAGTAGAAATTTCCTCTTACGGACACAGGTGCGTGCGTGTAGGCCGCCTCCTGTGTTACAGAAGACTGACAGCACAGGGAAGGAAGCGATCGGCTCTAAATGTTACTTACAGCATCCGGCATACACAGGGTCCTCGTCAGACCCGTCGCGGCACTGCGTCTCTCCGTCACACACCATGGCGTGGAACAAGCACTGCAGGCGGTTCTTGCACACGAAATCCATGTAGCGTGTACACAGGGGTTCTAGATGACAGGTGTTATACATTATGGTTACAATGTCCCCTTTGCACCATGTAAAAAGACTACGACAAATTTCAGAGTGATCCAGAATTACAATTGCACTGTGCGGGTTTTGAACAAGAGAGAGTGCTTGTTCCCGGCAAAGTTGTCAGCAATGGCTGACTGTAGACCTCCCATGATGGCTTTTTGTGCACGGATACTGATTTTAGTGTGTTTTAACAATTGAATTGTGTATTTTTATTGGTTTAATATTAATTTGAGAAACATTTGCGCAATTATCGCAGGGCCTACAAATTTAGTATCACCATCTTTTTATTCTACCGGGCCTGCGCTTTCAGAAAATATATGGTTTGGGGGGTCTTTTACAAACGCTAGCAACGCAGCAGTTGAAAATCAAACCAATAGGAAAAAATTGCAGAAAATTCGAAAATGGCGCGGCCAGCTGATTTGAAAAATGTTCCGGAGGGCTTGGCAGCGAAAGGGTTAAACCATTAAAAGGTAAAGTTGAATGTCCGGAGGAATGCCATTTCCTGCCAGTAGGGGGTGCCAGGGATCCACGCTCCTCATGCAGGACCTGTGGCAGATGGAAATAAAAGCTTATACTCACCACAAGTTTGCTCATCTTCCCCATCAGGACAGTCCATCACACCATTGCAGTGTTTGCCCAGCGGGATACACGTCCCATTTCTGCAGCGGAAACCATTACACTTCTTCTCTGGAGAGAGACAAGACTATTAGAAAAAAGGAACAATAACCTTGGCATGGGATGTTTTTTGGGGGGGACCCCAAGAGTGTAAGATCTTTTAGGTGATAAGAGACCGGGGAAGTATCACCCGCCACATAAATTAGCTCCAGAATCCTTTACACCAGAGGTAGTCAAACTCTGGCCCTCGAGCTGTGGTGAAGCTTCAAATTCCACCATGCATCTGCCTCTGGGAGTGATGTCTGTGACTGCCAGTCTTGCAATGTCTAATGGGATTTGTAGTTGCACCACAGCTGGGGGGGGGGGGCAAAGTTTGCTTACCCCTTCTTTATACATTCTATCACTCAGGGACAGTAGAACCAGGCTGATCATTGTTACCCCAATAGCTGTACCCCCATATATCCCATACTCAGTGACCTGCTGCAGTGTCACTGTAAGGGCTCTACCCTCACTAGGCTTTTTGGTTTCTATAAATAAACACGGTTGCTTCTGGTGCACCATTACCCTAAATCTCAATATAACCCCTAATGATGTCCGTCAAGCAAACCCTAATACCCACTTACATGCCCCTCATAACCCCCTAATCTAATCTGAATACTTACCTAACCCCTAAATCTAACCGGAAACTTAAGCCCTAACCCAACCCCATTTCTAACTGTGGCGTTTCCCAAACATGAGCCTTCATCTTAACATCATCCACATCCACATCAATCTTCAGTCTACACCCAACCCTTACCTCTAGCCCTACTTCTGATCCCTAGCCTTCCACCTAACCCTTAAACATTTAACCCCCTATACCTGACCCTCCAGCATCTTCCATGGACCCCTAACCTTCTACCTGACCTCTAATCTTATCCTCTCAATGCAAACCTTCTTTCTGAAGCAACTATAAACCAAGTACAATTCTGACATCAATATTATCTTTTCTACTGAAATGTCTTGTGTCAAAACAAACGTACAAATCTAACAAATCTACCAGAGAGGAGAAAGAAGCCAGCAGCACACCGTGAAATCCTTCCTAAGTGAAGCTTTATTATTTCTGACAAGCAATGGGGAGCCCCGCATTAGACTCCCTTCTTTAACGCATTTCACTAAAAATTGGGCCTAAGGTCTCGTTCACACCTAGGCGTATTGCATATGCGCGACTGTCGCGCGTTTTTTTACCGCGATTCGCGGTAAAATGTCACGCGACTGCTTGAAACATACAGATTGATTTTACTGATCGTGTCCCTCCCAACCGAACCTGGAGAGAGAAACAACGTTTACGGCGACTGTGCAGCTTCGATGGGATGAAGTAACTGTTAGACCTCAGATTGTGATTTTAATTACAGTATTTCATCCCAAGTCTTACTTGCATGTTCCAACTGCTGAAAATGGAGGTTAAAAAAAAGAAAATGTCCCTTGGCATCCTCCCCTCTAATGCAGGGCTATGTAAACTGCATTACGCGTGATGACGTCAGCAATCCCAAGACTGCCGGAGCCCAGGAGAGAAGAGGCTGCGGGGACCGGCATAGCAGCCCTGAGGAAGCCGGCAGGAGCAGGGAACAGGCAAGTAAATCTGCTTAACTCCAGTCCCTTAGGTCTCGTTCACACCTAGGCGTATTGCATATGCGCGTCTGTCGCGATTCGCCGTAAAAAAGTTGCGCGGCCGTTTTGTAGCGCGTTAGGGACGGCCGGAAATACGCCAAGGTGGGAACGAGACCATTGAATACAATGGGATTTATATTTTTGAGCGTTTTGTAGAGCGTTCATCGAGCGTAGAACGCGCTACAAAACGTTCAGGTGTGAACGAGGGCTAACAGTAGATGTCTCTATTTTAAGCCCAATAATTTTGGGTGAAACGCGTCTTGAGGGGCTTGTTTACAACAATAAAGCTTTGATTATGAAGGATCTTATGGTGTTCTGGCTGCTTTTTTTCTCTTGGATATATGAACAATTTGGGGAGAGGACAAGCCCCTGTCTGGTTTCGGCACCTGGCTAGCCAAGGGGATGGATAACATTTTTACAGAAAGTTTTAGCACTGGCCTACAAAATGCTGACAATGCATCTGTGCAGCTATAACTGATCCTAACCGACCTTCACAAGGATCCATATTACTCGGGTCAGCACTAAGGATGGGCACGGGCGTGTTCGCAGTTCTACTTGCCGAGCCCGCCAGGAAGCTGACAGCGCGCATCACAGGCACTGAGACATTTCCCGCTCTCTGCAGCTGCGGACCGGGAAAATGTCTCAGTCCCTGTGATTGGTGCTGTCAGCTTCCTGGCGGGCTCGGCATGTGGAGCTGCAAACACGCCCGTGCCCATCCTTAGTCAGCACCTACCTTGGCCTTTGAGTTATCTGGTCCCTCTACACCCTCACCCGACCTCCCCTGCTATTAGCGTCTCTCTATTCAGCCCTGCTCTGCTGCTTTATATACAGACAACCCATTGCTACCCAAGCCGTGCCCATAAGGATATTACACAGAATCTGCTGAGATGGTGCAGCTCAAGCTGCACCATCAGGTTACTGAATTGGAAAGGGAAAGAATTATCCCACCCAAAACACACTGAGCTCTGGACAGTGACAGACAACAGAAGAATACATAGACGTGAGTGGTGTGAGCTGCACATCTCGCAGGAATCTTCTCACTTACCGCAGATGCTGTGATCTTCGTCAGAGCCGTCCTGGCAGTCGCTGTCGCCGTCACACACCCACCTCTGGGGGATGCAGTGGCTGTCATGACATTGAAAACTGGATGGCTCACAGGTATGGGAGATAGCTGGAGACAAGAGAGAGGAGTCAGCAGGGTGCTACATGTCGGGGCAACTTACATACACTGGATTAGAGAGGGGAATTGTACCCATAATAGACTGCTTTCCCTTTGTAAACTAACAAAGCTTTCCCATGCACATAGTAATGTCATTTTAACTTACAATATGGACTCCCATACAAAGTGGACATCCACATATTCTTTCAATGCACTTCCTGTCCAGGTGGCACATAGGACAATGTTGTGTTGACAATGTTGTGAGTGTAATGCGATATTATTCCCTACATTTGTGGTTCCATTCTGCTGTGGATGTCACCACTTCCATTGCATGCTGCTTCTCTATTTGTTAAAGTAGAGGCTGGTCCCATGATCGCTGCCCC